AATTATTATTTAGACCCATTATTCAAATTATTCTGGGTCACTCTGTCCCATCCATTTTTAGGAACCATTCTGTGCCAATTTTCATACTAAACTCGTTTTACTTTTGTGGTACCATAGCTGCTTTTTACAAGTGCATCCCCAGAGAATACTCTACTTTTGAACAGAAGGTATAACCTTTATTATAGGTCAGCATAAAGGGCATAGCAGTTAGGTTTCACCTCTCCTTATAAGTTTACATCTGATACTACAACTCTCATATTTCTCTCCTTCAGGTCGCTAAACTTCGACAGTCCTTACAGAAACGCTCCAGACATGCACCTCCTGCCATGGACTGTGACCAGACACACCAACACATACACAACAGCCAAACACACTCGCCTGGAAGTACACAGGTAAACAAGAATGTATACACAAACCACAAACCTAAACAATGTATGAATGTGTTTTGACCAGCTTGTTATTTTACAGTAGTGACACACTGGGACATCAAGAGAAAGGTTGGGGGCATTTATAAAGGTTGTGCTTGTATATGAGCAGTGATTAGGAGCTAAGCCTCTCAGGTTGGCCCACATCTCACTAGCAACAGAGATTTAAAAACAGAGCAGCTTTACTTAGATGGTGTCAGTGATCTACAGCCATTGATATGGTGAAAACACACAGCTGGTTATGTGGCTGTGGCTCTCTTTGTACAGTAGTATATTTAGAGGTGACAATATGCATAAATCTACTTGCATTGAATGCTATGCATGTTTAGTATAAACATACAGGTTAATCTCATGTGTTACATTTAACTGCAAAACACACACACACACACACACACATATATACACACACAAAGAGACCTATAACCCAATTAGTGTACAAGTATAAGCTTGAAGAAAACAAACAAACAAGGACACACATCAGATATATATCTCTGATAGTCGTGTGTGTGTGTGTGTGTGTGTGTGTGTGTGTGTGTGTGTGTGTGTGTGTGTGTGTGTGTCTGTGTGCAGACGATGCCTCTGATTCCACTGAGCCGATTGGCCCCCAGACTGAGACGCAGTGTTGAAGGACTGAACCTGGAGCTGGAGGGAGTCTTTGTGTCTGAAACGGCAAAGGAACAGCACAAAGTCAGTGTGTATTTGTTTGAATGCGTGTTTCTGATGTACACTTTCAGTCTCACAATCATCTGAAACCCGTGTGATTTTGTGTGCGTTTAGATTCTCGACGTACCAGATGGTCACAGAGCCCCCGTCCCAGCTCAAAGGTACAGCAGCGCTTCACAGAGCGACCCTTCTCCTGCCCAGCTGTCTCCCTCACACTCTCCCTGCACCATCACAGACACCGGTCAGTATATGTATAAACATAGAAACAGACTTTATAAAGTCTATATTTCATGTTCCATGTCAAATTGAGAGACAAGACAGCCAAAGATGGATGTGCTCAGAGTCTTAACGGTTAAAAAATAGCACAAACTGAACTTGCTCTTAGGTACATCATTCATATTTTATCAACACATGAGAGGAAGGTCTGTGTGAAACTGTTAATTGTGTAATGTGCTTTTGTCTTTATCGGTCTGTGTGTTGTGTTTAGATATGGTTGTGTGCGGGCCGCTCTGTGCGCCTTCCTCCCCTCCTCTATGTATTTCGGAGCCACCATCTTCTTCTCCTCGTCCCAACAAGACGTACGTCTTTCAGAGAGAACCTCCAGAGGGCTGCGAGAGAGTACGTGTGTCTGAGGAGGCCATGTAAGTTTAGCACAAACGCGAACCGCTGCATGTGTTAGGAAATAGACATAAAACTGTAACACTTTAGGGACCAATTCTCAGTACTAACTAGTTGCTTATTAGCATGCATTTTACTACCTTATTGGCTGTTTATTAGTACTTATAAAGCACATATCAATGCCTTATTCTGCATGACCATATTTTTAGATCCCTTAATCCACCCCATACCTAAACTTAACCAACTAGTTTAGGAGTTTTTTGAGGCAAAAGTCATAGTTAATATAGTGAGACTTGGTCTCCAAAAGTGTGAGCTATAAAACATATTAAATAGGGATGTCAACACATTAATATAGTCTTATTAATAGTGATAAGAAAATAATACAGGACTATTCTATATTCTTGTCTGCCACAATAATATAATTTACATAAGGCCTCTTCTCAGCAAATATTGATAATCTGAAAAGATTATTCAGTTGACATTCATCTAATTAATCTGCATATCATGAAGTTAATTTAAATGAGTTATTTCATCAACCAATCTCTACTTTTTTTAGCATTCCCTGTCATGTAAATGCCCTTCAACCTTAAATGTTTTTTTTAATTAAATAAATAATAATTATCTTATATTTTTCTTTTCATTGTCTGTATTCTCTAGGTTGTATTGTTAATAAAACAAAATGCAGTATGACAACATGCATTATTTAAAAAATGATTTATTATTGATATACTATTATAATGATATACTATTATGACTTGAATACTAACATATGCAGTTAATTTCATTGAATCATCAATCAATCTCTTCTTTTCAGCCTTCTCTGTCATGGAAATGCTCCTCTTCAGCCTTCCTGTCCTGACCCTAACAAGGTGAATTTCACACCTCACGGTGGCTCCGCCTTCTGTCCTGTCAGTCTCCTCAGGCCCCTCCTCCCTTCAATGGACCTGTTATTTCGTGGCCTGTCTGTTTCACCCGTCACTGGCTGTTCGGCTCAAAGTGCTGCCCCCTGCCAGACACCGGGACATGCTGTGGGTGGTTATTTGAGCGGCACCCTCCCAGACCCTACCACCACCTCTCTGTGAATGGAGGACATTCATGACGAGAAAAGAAAAACTAAAGATTGTTATGCCTTTGTCCCATCTCATCGGCGACTTTGACTTTAAAGCATCTCAAAGAGAAGAAACTGCTCATGCCATCCACACGGTATCTGATTTGTTTTGATCGGCACAGAGAGGAAAAAAAAATCATGAGGGGAGAACAAAATGGAGAACTTTTCTTCATCTTAAAACTATGGTGGACTCTCTCCAATGTGATTTGTCTGTGACCTTTTGACCTCAGGACACTCCACTTGGCACTTGTGATCATTTCGTTTCATGTTATAGCATTTAACTATTGCTATATTTGTTCTAATTTCTATAAAACAATACTGATGACTATTCTTCTATATCTTTAGCTCTGTCAGAAGAGTAATTCTGAACATTCACTATCATATATCAGACAGATTATAAAACATATGTGCTATAAGCCTGACCCACTGCATGATGGTTTTACAGAGCTGTGGATCAATCAGAAACACGTGTTTCTTAATTCAGTATTTACAGACACAGGTCTTTACTGCATGCTGGACTTTTTTACCAACACAAAAGAGGCAGTAATAGACCAGAGAGTCTCTCATCAGCTGTTCATTATAGGGGCATTTCATTTGAACGGCTGACAAAGGTTTTGAAGGCTGGGTTTGTTTTGAATACTCTCAGCATGTCTGTTTAGTAGTTCAGAATATATACATTTAGACATCATTAAGCAGTAGGTGTTTAATAAATGTCTCCAAATGTTCAGTGAAGAGCAATTATTCATAAAGTAATCTTACAGAGCTTGTCAAAAAATGTCCCGATCATATTTCACCACCAATCAAATGAAATTTGAGATTTTTTTTTATTGTGTCATATTTGTAGGATGAGTAAGCGCATATTGTTACTGTATTAAAGTTAAAAAGTAAAGAAAGATTTGTATATATATATATATATATATATATATATGTATATATATATATGTATAAAATAGGTACTAAGATAGACTTGATTATTTTTCTATTATATCTTTTGAGTTTGGATTGAAATATGATGGGGATATTTTCTTAATAGGTTTTGTGAGATTCACCGGTCCAGAGAAACTGTTTACAGTTGTAATTTAATAAGGGAAAGGCCCTTATTGCTTGTTTATTCTGAGGTCTTCATGTGTTGTGGGCCGCTGACACTTTTTGTTCAAATTTGGTGTAAGACAAGGATACCGACGGGACCCCATTAAGGGTTTATTTCGCTACGCACTTGATAAGTGTGCTGTATGTTTTACTGAATTTCACTTCAGACTTGACTACTAATCTTACCCACAGTGGTCATATTGTTCAGTTAATTTGAGCACCAAGCTATTATACAAACACTCTACATAAGACACAAGCAAGTTTGCTGCATTCAGGTACAATATGTGCATATCATACAGAACGAGACTTCCAGCAAATTATTGTTTGCTGACATTTAAAGCACTGTTATTATCCCCTATGTTTGCATGGATTGTGTCTCGGTCTTGGCATCATCCATTCAGTTTTTTAAGTTCTCACTTGTTGTCTTGTTCTGTAAGGGTGCTGTTTTAATGACATTGTTCTCAGATTCTTTGTCTTGAGTACAGTTATTGTACACCAAACCTGTTTTATCCTATATATTGTAAATTTATGTTACTCAATTTTGGCTGCCATAAATGAGAAGCGCAGAGAATTAAGAGTGTGGTTGCTGTTCTGTATATCAGCTTAATAATTATGCATTCTTAAGCATAAGTTAAACATAAGTTTCCATCTATCTATCTATCTATCTATCTATCGGTCTGTCTGTCTGTCTGTCTGTCTGTCTGTCTATCTGTCTAGCTATCTGTCTGTCTATACATACATACATATTACAATGTAATATACATTTATATGTGTCCATTTAAATTGAACACTTGGAATTCTAGAATATTTGCATGAATGAGAGACGTACACGTGATGCTTGCGGAGGAACTCTATGCCCCGCCCGCTTAAAGATTCCAGCCCTGTGATTCGCTGCATGTCGTCAGCTTTTGCCTATTTGGACCAATCCAAGTAATACACATACCGCTACGTAAAAATCCTACCTGCATATTAAGAAAGGCCCCACAGATTTGTTTACAGGGACTTGTATCTAATGCCCAAATAAAGTTAAAGCCGCATGCTGTCGGTATAATGGACAAAAACATAGATTGAGCCGAAAACCTGAGCTGGGAGGGAAGTCAACGCGATTTAGCAAATAAAGACATGCCCGTGGCGTAAAACTGTATTTTAAATCAGTCTTCGATCCTGATAAAGTTACAGGCATATCAGCAGAGTAGCTGGAGTTCCTCGGGTCCTTCTGCTCTAGTGTCATTTGACGCGTCAAACGAAAACATTTATTAGAGGATGCTCTAGCAGTAGTTATCATCTTCTGTTACTAAATGTCAAAAACAGACCGTTAACTCAGCATCTCGAGTACAGAATTACTTAGATCTTTGAGGCGTCCTCGCAATATCCGGAAACAAAAGACGCATTTTTACCTGCATTCGCTTACACCTCATTTTCAGGATGCGGCTAACGTTATTTGGACACAGTTAGCGCGCGGTTCATTTACATGATTGATCTGTAAATGCAATAAAACTCACATAAACGTAGGGTAATAAGAACGGACGTTTAGTGTTAAAGCAAGTGGCTTTAACACTATAGATGTAACACCAGAACAGAGAATCTCGAGTCGCCATCATTTCCGGGCTACCGATCGCCGGTAGAGTGGAACGGGACGCAGGAGCGCGGGGTACGGGGAGCGGAGCCGTGTCCGTGTCCATACCGAGACTGCTGGACGATAGCATGGCCGCCGGGAAGGCAGCGAGCAAACCGTCTCTCTGGCAGAACGAACGGCTCCGGTTCATCGTCTGTTTCTGCGGGGTGTTCGTGTGTTACTTTTACTATGGGATACTGCAGGAGACAATGTGAGTACCAGACAGCATTGAATAGACCTATATTTATTTAACGAGATATTGCATTTCTATATTTCTTTTTCATTCATTTGAGTTCCACTCCTCAGTTGCTATTATCGCACTAAATTACTCTCTGCCTATGTGGTTGCAACAGTAAGGAGAGGGAGGGAGAGGGAGAGGGGAAACGTCCCTTTAGCTATTTCACCTTGCTAGTTGACACACTGCATTCTGTCCAGTAAATTAAGTGTACTATGGTAAAGATGTGCAGTCTTACAGCTCACTTGTCAGTCTCTTTCAGAGATCGAGCACTGTTTTAACACACACTGTTGTTTTATTGTTCTCTATAAATGGCAAGCTGCTTTAGCATATATTCCTTTAAACCAGTGGTTCTCAACCTTTTTGACTTCAAGGCCCCTCTTTGTTTAGAAATATATTTGCAGAATAAGCCCCTTCTGAGCTGATATGTACCTCTGGTGCTTTTATTGTAAAAAAAGAAACAAAAATATATTGTCAGTGAAATGTTTACATATTTATATTAGTGTTTTTTTACGATTATATTAATATAAATAACTTGTAAAAAATCAAGACATATTTGGGCCCCCTGGTAAAGAACCACTGCTTTAAACTAGCTAGTATCTACTAGCATAATATAATGTAATATTATAGTATTAGTGTAATTACTAGTAAGTTATCAAGGAGTCTCTATTGCAATTTTGTTAGTAACTCTTCAGTAGATACCAGTCAGAATTTCCCCAAAGAATTCATTTAGTATGTTCTCCAGTTGTTGCTGGAACCTTTACTGATTTTACTAGTAATTATTCATTAGTCACTACTAGTGCTTGTATGAATATTTAGACTGCCGTATCGATCCCAGTTGTTAGGTACTAGTAACATTTGTTATCTTACTCGTTACAGCTTTTTTATTTGTAATATGTGAGAACGACTACATTAGAGTTCAATTGAAATAGTAAGTTTATTTAAAATATTACTACAAGGATCTAGAATGACACAGTAGTGTGTAATAAATATTAGGGCTGGGTATCGATTCAGATGTTTCGATTCGATTCTCGATTTTTTTGATTACATTCAGTGAATATAGTTTTAATACAAATGCTATTGATATTTCTAAAAAATGAACAGTAAACATCAGTTTACAAATGGTGAATTAATAAAAAGAAATTAAGAACCACATGCCTGTATTTTAAACATTCTTTTTTTTTTTTGTATAGGGTCCTTTTTTTAAACAATAATAGGGCCCTATAAAATGTTCTTAATTTTTCTGGTAATCAGGTGGATCGCCGGATCGGCTTTCACCGTGGACGAAGCCCGGGGTCGTCACATGTGCTTGCCGCTCCTTCGTCGGATCTGCCGGCTGCGCTGTTCTCAACCCCGCCACCTCAGCTCACTCTAGCCCGGCCTCAGCTCATGCTAAACCGGGGCTTCCGCTAGGCCGCTGTGTTTTTCGTTGTGAAAGACACCTCGCTTTTTCAGACTGATGAGCTTTGTAAAAATCGATGCGTTTCAAAAAGGCGGGGCATAGAGGAGAAACAATAATGTACAGTATGTGGAAAATGTGTTTTTTTTTTATTCTAAACCGCATAAACAAATTTCATTACACCAAATACACAAAATAATGTTCTTTTTAGCAGCATCATATGAACCCTTTAAATGTGTGCTGAAATAAATAATGGAAAAGATCGATTCGCGGCTTTTGAGAATCGATATCGAATCGACGTCATTTAAAAAAAACGATTAATCGGAAAATCAATTTTTTTGCCCAGCCTTAATAAATATGCAACCGGTGTCTATTCAGTTAGTACTAGAACAACTGGACTTGAGTCTATTTGTTATATTTAGAAGAACTAAGAGGAAACTACAGATTAAGTACTAGTAAGTGATGATTTTTAAAACAAAATTGGAATATATTGGAATATATATTAGTTAGAAATGAATAGTTATCTGAACCACAGATATTATAGCCAAGATGATGTAAGCAAACAAATTTCAGGTCAGAAGGTTTTTCTTTGTGTGTCCTTAAGGAACACAACCCAGCACAATGTCTTTGTCCTTTTGAAATCTGGGGATAGTTTGTCTCACATGAGCAAGCTGTGATTTTCTTTTCAGATTATATTGCCATGTTTTTAACCTCTAGACACACTGTCTTGAACCTCCTTAGATGAGTTGACCTTTCAGCATCAAATATTTTTTATCAAGCGCTTAAATTAGTCGCTGCTGTAAACAACATTTTCTTCCCCAGCCACTGTTGGTTATTTTAACCTCCAGTGATTATTAAAGGTGACATATTATGCCCCTTTTTACAATATGTAATATAAGTCTCTGGTGTCCCCAGAATGTGTCTGTGAAGTTTCAGCTCAAAATACTCCACAGATCATTTATTATATAATTTTGAAAATGCCTATTTTGAGTGGAAGCAGAAACACGCTTTTTTTCGGGCCTGTGTCTTTAAATGCAAATGAGCTGCTGCCCCCGCCCCCTTTTCCAGAGTAGAGCTGTGCCATTACAGCTCCGACCTGCTAAAAACATCTGTTTTGGTTCTGATTGTCATGTTTATCGCACTGAAATCATGCGTTTTAAACCATGTGAGTTTAAACTTCAGATATATGGTTTTCTGAGTGCACATCTGAAGCGCACGGACAGAAAGCGGCTGTCACCGCATGTGAGTACTAAACTAAGTTCTCATTCACACACAAGTTTACGTTAAAAACACACGAGTTACAAAAACAGTCGTGTGAAAAACATGTCTGTGAAGGTAAACAGCTGGGAAATAAATCGCTTGTTTATTTTAGATCTGTGTGGCAGCAGCAATATACAGTAACCTAAATAAATCAATAAATCCACTTCTCTCTTGTCTCCTCTGAGGCTGGGACTCTATAAACAGTGTTCTGTGGTCGTCTGTGAAGCCAAAGACAGAACAGTTAGCATGTTTTGAAAAACTTTCACCATGGCATTAGAACTGGTAACCGTTGTCGCTTGCGAAATCAAAATGACGGTGCCTTGAGTGGAAGTTTACAGATTAAGGGGCGGTAATATTATAATGAGATCCCTTTGCCACGTCACCAAGGGAGCGAAATCAGACGCGCTCGTTTTCTCAGACGCTTGCAGAAAAAGGCTTACCAAAACAAAGTGATTGGGTTAATCTTTTTCACGTTTCCTTGGTTGGTAGATGCACCGGGGACCTGATTATAGCACTTAAAACCTAGAAAAGTTCCCTTCAGTCCCACAATTCAATGCCTCTGTGTTCTGTTTCATCCAGCACACGAGGAGACTACAGTCACGCGGGGAAGACGGAGAAGTTTCGTTATGCCACCACACTAGTCTTCATCCAGTGTGTCATCAACGCCGCTTTCGCCAGACTCTGTGAGTCAAACCTGCAGATGTTCTGATTGCATGTGTGGAGATCATGTGTGTCGTAGTGATTGGGTGGCAACATGTTATGGCACCACTTTTTGCATATAAATGTTGCTGTAGATGTTTAAAATCTGAATTACAGGTAACTTTGCTTGCTCTCTATTTTGTGTTTGTAGTGATTCTGGTTTTTGAGAGCTCAAAGCAGGACCACACGAGAAGCTGGCTGTATGGCATGTGCTCTCTGTCTTACCTGGGTGCTATGGTGTCCAGTAACTCGGCCCTGCAGTATGTCAACTACCCCACACAGGTCTGCACAGCTCTCTACTCGCGTGTCTCTGTTTCTCCTCTTCACAACATCACGCTCATGAGTCTTTGTTCTTTCTAGGTGTTGGGAAAATCCTGTAAACCAATTCCAGGTGAGCATCTTTATCTGTTTTAGTCACACAAACACCGCTCTCGTGTTTCAGGAAAGAATGTCGAACATGCTGGGCTTGTTTTAGTGTAGTTCATATTCAAAACACACACACACACGGCTTTAGGGATATACAGTTTCATTTGTACATACACTACCATTCAAAAGTTTAAGGTCAGCGAGATTTTTTTATTTTTTTAAGAAATACAGGTAACACTTTAAAATAAGGTTCATTAGTTAACTACTTTAGTTAACATGAACTAAGCATGACCAATACTTCTACAGCATTTATTAATCTTAGTTAATGTTAATTTCAACATTTATAATGCATGTTTTTGTTTTGTTCACATTAATTAATGCACTGTGAATTAACATGAACTAACAATGAACAACTGTATTTTCATGAACTAATATTAACAAAGATTAATAAATACTGTGATAAATATATTGTTCATGTTAGTTAATACATTAACTAACATTAACTAATGGAACCTCATTGTAAAGTGTTACCGAAATACTTTTAATCAGCAAGGATGCATTAAACTGAAGTGACTGTGAAGACATTTGTAATCTTACAAACAATTTCTCTCAAATAAACGTTAAGCATTGATAATAATAAGAAATGATTCTTGAGCAGCAAATCAGCATATTAGATTGATTTCTGAAGGATCATGTGACGTTGAAGACTTTAGTAAACAGCTTTGCCATCACAGGAATACATTGCATTTTAAAATCAAATAGAAAACAGTTATTTTTTAAATTGTAATAATATTTCAGTATTTCACAATACTATATTTTTACTGTATTTTTGATCAAATAAATGCAGCTTCGGTGAACATAAGAGACTTATTAAAAAAAAACATTAATAAAATATTACTGACCCCAAATGTTTGAATGCTAAAGAGTGGGCCCAGAATTTTTGGACCCTTATTAAGTGTTATTTGGACACACACACACACACACACACACACACACAGTCTGGTTTGCTATCCTTGTGGGGACTCTCCATAGGCGTAATGGTTTTTCTACTGTACAGACCGTATATTCTATTGCCTCAATTTAGGTCTCCACTGTGACATGAGTCCCCATGAGTCTGTGTGTATTCAGGTTTAAGTCCCCACCAGAATAGAAAAACAGGTACACACACACACACACACACAGACACACACACACTTTCAAGAAAAACAAATAATATAAAATGAATTAAAAATTACATAAGATGTTCTGAAAAAATGGTTTAGAACCATTTGTTTGTGGACACCACTCTATTTTTTTTCCCATGCATTTTTAAGTGTGACTTAAAGGGGTCATATGATGCTTTTTTAAAGATAATTATTTTGTGTATTTGGTGTAACAGAATATGTTGACATGCTTTAATGTTCAAAAAACACATTATTTTTCAAATACTGTACATTATTGTAGGTCCTCTATGCCCCGCTTCTCTCAAACGCTTCGTTTTCTACAAAGTCCCTCCTTCCGACAAGTGCAGTCTGCTCTGATTGGCCAGCTGACCCAGTGCATTGTGATTGGCCGAACACCGCAAGCACTCGTCGGAAATGTAACGGCCCTTACCATAATCGCGAGCTTCATCTTTCAAAATAAATATAAAGACAGTAAATAATGTCATTAGTTTTACCATCAGTTCAAGCCCGAAAGGGCAACAGAGTCGTGTGACAGACACAGTGATGATGCTCGTATGTGTGCAGTACACAAGCCACGGTTAAGACAGCTGACTCCACTGTGATGTGACCCCCTCTCTCTCTCTCTCAC